AAACATGAACAACAGTCATATGAGTATGTATAGTATATACATGTATATATACACAAGCCAAGTAGTGAGTGCTTGGAGCCTGCAGGTTCACTCGCACATGTTAGCAGTCGACAGTCCAAAAAAAGGTGCGCGAAGCATAAGTGCACGTCAGCATCTTTGAAAACTACACTGTGCGACTAAACTTGAATTTTCGTTTGCAATGGTACACCATCATCACCGTCCAGTTGTAGACGATCGAGACTTGCTGGTCTTTGCAGGTCTTGAGACCCCGGCGTACTCGTGGCCAGGTCTGTAATACCATCTCTGGCTGCACCAAGCAAGAGCAAAGCAACTCGCTCCTTAGCCACAAAGCGTCGCATTGGCCGTGTTTGCGTGTGTTGTGTTTCTTGCTCTCAACCCTAAACCCTAAACTCTGCATAGACCCAGGAAACCCTCGATTGCTACAGGGTCTTCAGTTCTGCTGGAATATAGTGCGGACCTCACAGTGATCTACATGATGGGAATTGCCTGTGGCTTCTAGGTCGTCTATTCCTTACAGTACTGCTTAGGGCATGAAACTATACTGAACTTGAACCCTAGCAAAAATCATGATTTTAGCTGTTTCTTAGGGAACATAGTACCCCAACAACCTATTTACAAAAATCCATAGCAAGTGCCGGTATGGAAAAGGGAAAGGAGTCACGATGGAGAATTCAGGGGGGTCCCTTGAGCCGAAATCATGGCAGGCTGCTCGCAGCTCTAAGTAGGTCTGTGCCTGCATGCAAAACCCTACAACCCTAAACCCTAAACCCTAAGCCCCAAACCCCAAACCCTACACTTCAAAGGCCCACCTAGAAGCTGATAAGGGGGTACCAGGTCGTGGTGAAACGCACACGATACAAGAGAACCCTAAACCAAAAAGACCCTCGACCCCTAACTAGGATGACCCCTAAAGCCCTCTGAAAAACATACCTGAATATGACCCTCTTAAATCCACTAAGGAAAAATGTAAATATCAAGGGCCTACTTCGCTAACCATAAGACCCTAACCCGAAACTCGCCCTCAAGTCAGCTTCTGGCTTGAATGCTCCTTCTCCCTTGACTGCTTCGAGCTCCATAGCCAGTATTGAGGGGTGTCTGCACTTCTTCTGCAGGGCTTGCAGGGCTCAGTGTGAGGTGCTTTAGGGGCTTAGTTTTGCCAGGGTTTAGGTTTCGGGATCGGGGCAAGTGAGATTCTATGTGTTCATTAAATGTATTTTGTTTTGGTATGTATTATTATTGTTATGTTTTTTTTTGGGGGGGGGCATTGCGATTGCTAGGCTCTCTGCTTCAACCATGCTAGCAAAGCACCTTGTTCTGATACCCATGTATTTTCACATGTGTGTATGTAGACATGTACGCAGCACATATGTATGTCTGCATATGTGCTCATGTGAAATTGTGTATGTACGTAGGTATGTACGTATGTGTGCATGTATGTAGGTACGTCTGTATGTGTGCATCGCCTAGTCGACTCTAATCTCGTCCAGGCAAGTCGACTCCAGTCCATTCCAGTCTAGTATGCATGTAAGAAAATACATTGATGAGGTAATTTACTCAAGTATATCTATATATACACATAGATGTCTAAACGTATACGTACATGCATGTCTATTTATATGTACACATGTATATATACATACACCTTCACGTATTTCTTATTAACGGTGATATGTGATGTATGTAGACATCGTCTGTTTGAGGCGCTTAACTTACATATACAAATCTATGTACACACAGACAATACTTAGGTTTGAACAAAATAACTCTACATAGGACCCCATTGTGTCCCTCAACCCCCTGCCAAAACCGTGCGCCGGACTCTGTCCCGGGGGGTGGGGACCCCGGCCTCCGCACGCATGATCTCCACCTGTGCGAGGGGGACAGATTTCAAAGATGCTTGGAAAGGCACCTCGCTCCTGACAGTGCGAGAGAGAGAGGGAGAGAGAGGGAGAGAGAGGGAGAGAGAGGGAGAGAGGGGGAGGCGGAGGCAAAGCAAGGATCGGCCTAACACGCAGAGCCCTACATGTAGCCCTTTTTGCGAAGCAGACTTCGGTATTACCGTATGCTTCGCCAGCTTCAGGGCACCAGTAGGAATCTCAGGCACCATTCGAACCGCGAGAAAGCACTGAAGGCTAAGCATGTTATTACCCCGCACCAAAGCTCAGGTGATGAGCAACTAACCAGCAGTGGTCAGCGTCCTTCTTTCAATTCCATGTTTCTGCTTGGAACATGGCTTGTGCCCATGTGATCGGGAAGCTGCAGCACTGGCGCAAGGACTCCACCAACCATGGCGAACCGGCAATGCAGGAGTATCGGTGGGCCTACCCACTGACATTTCGTGTAAGTTTGGCTGCACAAGAGTCCTTTCTTCGGGTTGGGATAGCCCAACCATCCCCTATCAGCTGTGCGAACACTTCCCTTTAATCTAAGGTTTAAACCATGGGCCCTTAGTGTGGTCCCTCATTATATACAGTGTATGCAAGGGTTCCATAACAAGGGATCCAAACTACTGGGCCCATGCTTTGGATCCCCTACTTTATGAAAACTCCCTTCTTCGCTTGCTCTTCTGCGAAGACGCGCCGGAAAGCCCCATTCAAAAAGCCTTGAGCCCCTCTAAAGCACGCCTAAGTGCCATCATGGCCCTAAACCCTAAACCCTAAACCCTAAACCATCCTCCTGAGCTCGAAATCAACAGCACCCCCGAGCCGGACCAGCGCGCCCACGACCATCCCGCCAGCGCCGTTCTCCTCGAGCAGCTTCTTGCACCTCGGCCGCGGCAGGGTTTGGGGTTTAGGGTTTAGGGTTTAGGGTTTGGGGTTTGGGGTTTGGGGTTTAGGGTTTGGGGTTTAGGATTTAGGGTTTAGGGTTTAGGGTTTGGGGTTTGGGGTTTGGGGTTTGGGGTTTGGGGTTTGGGGTTTGGGGTTTGGGCTTGGGGCTTGGGGCTTGGGGCTTGGGGCTTAAAAGCAGAGAGGGACAGGGCATAGGATGTAGGTTGGGATGTTCTCCCTTAAGCTAACAGTCCTGCATGGGGATTATAACGGGGGGGTGGCAGATCCCTACTGAGGACTGTTAGTATAAGGGAACCTCCCAAGACGTAGGATTGATGGGGGCTTGAGGGTTTAGGGAACCCCCAACCCTAAACTCTAAGCCCTAAACGAGGGCACCGAAGGAACACTTTGTCCTGAACCTCGCCCCAGTACACTGCAAGTGCCCTATGTATTGGTGCTTTTGTTGATTTTCTCACATTTACCTGGGACTCTATTTACTTGTAACTACCCTGAATTAGTAGGTACAACCCGCAAAACTGTAGGTAAAGAGGGTCCCAGTTACATTTTCACAGGAAATTTACATCTTGCCAGTGTAAGTGACTCGATTCTTGTAATTCACCCCTTTCCGTCTTCTTAGGACACTTGCAGCGTTGGGACAGAAACCCTAAAAGCACGCTCCCTCAATGCTGGACCCATTCCAAACCTTACTAACTTTGGCGTCAGTAACGGGGGGCGGACGGCCTCCTGTTTGTACTTTACCTTGGTCCCAGGGTAGCGTCGGAGCCCCCTAAAATGGGCATACTCCTAAGCAGGAAGAAGAGCTGAGGTTCTGTTCAGGGGAAGAATATGCCCCAAACCCTAAACCCCTAAACCCCAAACCCCAAACCCTAAACCCTAAACCCTAAACCCTAAAACCCTAAACCCTAAACCCTTTTGGTGCGTGGGCCGCCAGTCTTCGTGGCCGCCGTTCGAAGTCCGCTGCATCGAACATTTTGGTTCTAGGCTCAGGCGCCCATATGGGAGGTTTACGATATTGGGGGGGTACCTTATTGGGGTCCTTATTGTGGGGTTTAGGGTTTAGGGTTTAAACTCCCATATCGGGGACTGTGGTGTCAGGTGTAGAAGTTCATTGGCGGTTTTAGAGGGTTTATAGGGTTAATTGAAACCCCCCCCCCCCCCCCCCGCCCATTTTAATCAGGCTTTACTAAGGGGGGGTAGGGTTGAAAATCTCGGGTTTCGGGCGCTCGATGGTTTGCCAGGGGCTACTACTTGCTTAAGAACCCCTCAGAAAGATTTTTTTAAAAAATCATGATCCCCATATTACCCTTATAAAGAAAATACGTTCATTTTTTTTTTTTTTTTTTTTGGGGGGGGGGGGGTTCTTAGGGGGGCTCAGAGCCTGGTGCCCATTCTTCGGGGCGCGTGCATGGACTGAATTGAAGTCCGCACTGTCGCTGTTTTGGCAGTGGACAGCGGCAAGGGTGCTTTCCCCGCGGCCTGCCCAAGATCCTAACTGCTGCGCACCAGCCATGCTGGGGTTTGTAGGGTTGCTGGGGATTACAGAGGACATAAGGGTTTATGGGGTTTATAGAGTTTCTAGGGTTTAGGGTTCCCAATCTCGGTACCCCTCAGCAACTAACGTGTCTTTATGCTTCAGACGACTCTGCAGCAAGGTCTTGGCAGCTTGGCTCGCTTTATCGCCGGGGATCCCGAGTCATATTTTGGGATCCCGAAAAGAAGCGTTTTGGAGATGTCTATTCCCTTCAAACATTACAACCCCCCCCCCCCCTACCCCCCGGATACTAAATACCCCCCCCCCCCCCACATATACTATAATATTGCTATCATAATATTGCTATCATGGGGGGGTTACTTAATATTAGGGGGTAGGGGGGGGGGGGGGGGGCTGAATATTATTTGGGGGAAGGGATTGTAGCACACAGAATTCAAATCAGAGCGGTTTTCAACACCAACTGGTGACGGCTCTTGCCCTCAACCGTTTCCTTAGAATGGCCCTTCAAGCCCCCCAAAAAATCTTCCTGAAGATGAGCCTCTGAAACCCAACAAGGGAAAAAATGCAACACATCTCGAGGGCCTACCTAGTTTCGGGGCCAAAAAATAACTAAAACAGGTTTTTGGGGGGCTATTATAGTATAACAACTGTATAAGGGCCATAAGGAAGTACCGATTAGTTCCCCAGAGAGCTCTGCTTCAGGCGTCGTTCTTCTTCTCCTCGCCAGGCCCCGGCGTCTGCGCCAGGACAAGCGCCGTGCCCGAGGCAGCTTCGGTCTGCAGCGCGGGCGCCTGCTCCTCATAACCGGAGTCGGGCAAAAACCCTAAGAGTCCTGAGTAGGGATTAAAGTACCCCCTACTACAACCCCTGTTAAGGACTGCTAGTATAAGGGGGAACATCCCTAAAAACAAACCCTAAACCCTAAACCCTAAACCCTAAACCCTAAACCCTAAACCCTAAACCCTACCCCGACACCCCCCGGCTTGGGCTTACTCATGGCAGCTTAAAGAGTCGGTTAGCTCCACCACCAGGAGCTGGTAGGGCTGCGGCTGCTCACCTGAAGCCATCACATGGCACGTTGCAGCTGCACTTTGGGGCCAAGGCTTTAAGGTACCCCTAAACCCTAAACCCTAAACCCTAAACCCTAAACCCTAAGGGTCTTTGGGGTCTAGGATTTCACAGTCAAGGAGCATGGACGTGTCCAGGGCCCTGAATTGGACTCAGACTATCCCCCCTAAAGCCTCTCAGCTTGGAGCAGAGGGGGTGGAGGGGGGGACTTAAACCCCTAAACCCTAAACCCTAAACCATGCGGGGGCTCAAGCTCCTGCTGCCCTAAGAAGCGAACTGAACCCTCAGGCCCTTTTTGCTTCAGGGTTTTAGGTTTAGGGTTTAGGCCCTAAACCCTGAACCTCGAAACACCACCCCCGACATCCGATACAAGTGCCATGGGCTCCGATCGTTCCGACATAGGTCAGGCAGGAAGCCCGAGAATTAACCAACAAACAACAGGGTTTAGGGTTTAGAGGTTAGGGTTTAGAGTTTAGGGTCTAGGCTGTAAAGTTTCGGGTCTAGGGTCTAGGGATTAGGCTTTGGTGGGTAAATCCGCTGCCACGTAAGGTCTCTTTGATACTAGGCTTCCTGCGGCATATGGCTGAAGACTCCAAGGTAGTACGCTATCCTTGAGGCCTAACCGGAAGAATAACCCTAAACCCTAAACCTTAAACCCTCACAAGCAGCTACATTGGCATCCTTGGACTCTATCTGGGAGGGGGGGGGGGGTCTTTTTGAGGTTTAGGTTCATTTGTTGCAGGGTTCGGGGTTTGGAGTTTGGGGTTTGGGTTTAGGGTTTGGGGTTTGGGTTTAGGGTTTAGGGTTTAGGATTTAGGGTTTAGGGTTTAGGGTTTAGGGTCTAGGGTTTAGGGTTTAGGGTTTAGGATCTTGCCGCAGCGCCACCGCCGCGCCAAACGCCGAACGCCCGCAGAGCGACCTGCGCGTTTGCAAATCTTCGACACCCCCTTGGCCAGCAGGCTTGCTAACTAAACCCCAACGGAACCCTACATGTACATGTATACGAATATATATATATATATATATATATATATACCGAAGACCCTAAAAATCCTACATAAAGCCTAAAAACCCGAATTAAACCCAATATAAACCCTTTTTACGACTGGAACTGAGGCCCGGGCCAATATAAACCCTAAACCCTGAACCCTAAACCCTAAACCCTAAACCCTATAAACCCTGAACCCTAAAAAGGGGGCCATCGGGCCGGTCAGAGGGGTCCTACGTCACTTGGCAACCCCCCCCCCTGGATCCCCTCGAAGCTGGGATGGATGTACCCTCAACCCTACATTAGGGTTTAGGGTTTAGGGTTTAGGGTTTAGGGTTTAGGGTTTAGGGTTTAGGGTTTAGGGTTCCAAAAAGTTGCTGCACCCTGGTGATCCCATCTGCCTTTTGAACTCGTAGACACGGGATCCGCGCGCCCCTCCAAAACCTCGAAGCCCACACTGTGCATTCTGATTCTACCCAGAAGGTCCTTGCGTCGAAACCCTCAACCCTAAGCCTCATAAACCCTGTGCCCGAAGCCCACCCATGCATTCTTCAAGGGGGTAATCTGCCACCTGGCCCAGGTAGTCAAGGACAAGCATGAGGAGGCCGTTCACCGTCCAGTGGCCGAGGATTCCAGCGACAACCTTACTGTTGGCTACTAGGGAATTTGAAAATGAGGTACCCTATAAATCCCTTAAAGGGTATACATATATATATATATATAGTGCCTTACATAATCCCTTAAAGGGTATGTATGTATATATCTATAAATATAAATATAAATATATATATATATATGTAGGACCCTAATTCCCCAAGTCCCTTCATTCCCTGCTAACCAACAGTATAAGCAACCATGCCGGCGCTGTAGGCGCCGCGCAGCCCAACGCAGATGAAGACAAGGCCGGCCATCCTCGGCTGTGGAGTTGGGACTTGGGAATCCCAGAACCCATAACTCAAGTTGAGGGTTTAGGGTTTAGGGTTGAGGCAGGGTTTAAGGTTTAGGGTTGAGGCAGGGTTTAGGGTTTAGGGTGTTCCGAGTTGCAGATGACTTAGCTTGGGTTGGATTGGCTAAGCGATGCTCTGGAAACCCAAGAATCATTGCAGAGGTCTGTCTTTATAGCTGTTCACCGACACCCGACACGTCTCGACTTGACAATCAAACTGGGGTTTCCGAAATTAGGGGTACCTTCTTGGGGTCCTCATTATAAAATCTACTATATGGGGGGTCTACATCAAGGGCCCAAAATCTTCGAAAACCCCCCCAAAATCTGACAAGATGGCTGCAAGTGCATCCTGTGTACCAGGAGGCCAAGAACCATCTTTTCGGCCACCGTTGTCTCAGGAAGTGGAGCGGGACATCATAGATCAGAGAAACGCACAAGCCACCGAAAAGGAAGCTCACGAGCTTCACCACCATAATCTGCGGGCGCTTTTTGCGGGTTTAGGGTGCTTTGCTGTCGCGGCCGGAGCGGCCAGGAGCCCTAAAAGCCTTAAAACCCAGAGTGTTAGGGCGCAAGTTTTGGGAAGATTCCGGCTTCGTTGCCAGAGAATTCGCCCTGCGTGGTCTCCCAGATCGCGATCATGTTTGAGACAAGGCCCGCCCAAAAATGAGACCACCAGAACCTGGGCTCAAGGTTTTCCGGGGTTTGTTGAGGGTTCAAAAAAGTTATCAGGTTTATGGTCCATGCCTCCTTGCTCCAAACAGAACACGTTCGTGACGGTCCTTCAACATCTGGCTCCTTGTCGAGGGCGATGTTCTGGAAATGGAACACTTCGGAAACAAGATAAACGACCATTAAGTGCGCCCTGGTTCAGAGCTAACCCTGTCTTGGGGTTTAGGGGTTTTGGATGGTCTCCACAACCCTAAACCCTGAACCCTCAGCCCCTCTTTTTCAAGAGGGACGTGCGATTTGCCCTAAACCCCTCCCACCCTAAATCCATCAACCCATCAACCCTAGGAACCCTAAACCTCGAGGGCCCCAAGGCCTACGCCCTCTTTGCCTCAACCGCAAGAGGTCGAAGAGAGAGCTTAAAGACACTGAGCCCTATACTGCCCTAAGCCCTAAACCCCAAACCCTAAACCCTAACCCCAAACCCCAAACACTAAACCATAAACCCCAAACCCTACACCCCAAACCCTAAACCCTAAACCCTAAACCCTAAACCCTACCTAAACCCCACGGAAGCCCGAGGAGCGCTCCAGACTGAAGTTTCCTGTTCTGCTGGTCCTCGGGGCCGCGGAGGACCAAGATCAGCAAGACCACGTGAACCTCGGCCGCCCCTCTTCCCCCCCTCACTATCCGCCCACCCCTAGGGGGGGCGGCGTCAGTGAAGACCCATTGCCCCTACCACCAACTCCACCCCATCCAAAGCTCGACCGGCCCCCAGTGCATGCCCGCCCGCCCCACCACCCACGCACCCCGCCCCCCGCTCCTTCCCTTGCCCAAGCCCCCCACGCACCCCGCCATGCTTCTCAGGCTGCTCCCAGTGCATGCCCGCCCGCTTGCCCTACCCCCACCACCCACGCACCCCGCGCCCCGCCCATCCGCCCTTCCCGCTCCGCATACTCCTTCCCTTGCCCAAGCCCCCCACGCACCCCGCCATGCTTCTCATGGACCCATGGCTCCTGGTCCCATTCTTCATCTGCTCCACCCCACCCCCAACCCGCACACACCCTGCCCCCCCGCCCAGGCTTGTCATGGACCCATGGCTCCTGGCCCCATGGCTCCACCCCCATGGCTCCGCCCCTACCCCCACCACCCACGCACCCGCTCCCCGCCCATCCGCCCTTCCCGCTCCGCATACATTCCAGCCCCCCACGCACCCCGCTTTTCATGCCCATGGAGCTGCTCCACCCCCACCCGCAACCCCCACCCCCACCCCGCACGCACCCTGCCCCGCCGCCCGTGCTTGTCATGGCCCCTTGCTCCTGGCGTTATGGCTCCACCCCCACCCCCAACCCCCACCCCCACACACCCCACCACACCCCCCACGCACCCGCCCCCCCACTGGACCCATGGCTCCAAGCCTTGCAGCAGCACAAGCAGCACCACGTCCACCTGCCAAAGACGGTCCAGCAGAAGCAAGCGGCGTACACCACACAGGCCCTGCGGGCCAAGGCCACCTCCGTCGAGGCCGAATGGCTGGAGCGAAAAGCAGAGGAGCGGAAGACAGCCTTCCTGGCAGCAGACGCAGAGCGTCTGCCCCTGGCCCACTGCAGAGATCCCCGCGATCCGACAAAGTGCAAGGCAGGCTTTCCGAAGCCACAGGAGCAGATGACCGACACCGCCGTGCTGGTCTGCAAGGGCTTGGCGAAACACATGGGCTTGCCGGTCAAGGGCAAGAGAAGCGCACTGGGCGCTCTCTGGGGCCCCGTCAACGACCCCAACCTCAACGGCACCCACCCGGCATAGCCGGCGGCGCTCAGGTGCAACTCCGACGTCCAGGTGCCCTACCGCTTCCCGATCCTGGCGGAGCTGCACGACGACGATCTCTGATTTGAGGACTGTGCGGCCGGCGCTGACCTCCGCCAGGTCGTCAAGCAAGCCCAGCAGAACCAGGCGGCACAGGCGGGCTACGGCTGCGACTACATGAACAAGAGACTGGCCATCGCCGTGCAGGAAACGAAAGAATGGCAGAAAGCTCAGACCGAGCTGGCCAAAGAGCTGGAAGGCAAGCCCACCGGCTACGCCATGGGCAGGCACAGCAAGCGCCTCGCCACCGACTGCTGCGCGCGGGGCGTGTGCCGGGCCTCTGTGGAATGCGCCAACCTCGTGGACCACGCGCGCAGCCCTGATTGCACACGCGCCGAGTCCATCAAGACAGCGCAAGTCACGGACTGCCCCAATTGGCTCCTGCTCCCATTCTTCATCCCTCGACCTGCATGGCTGCCAATGCTGGTCCTATATATGGCCCCTGCCCCACCCCCAACCCCCACCCCCATACCGTACGCACCCTGCCACCCCCAACCCCCAACCCCCACCCCACAACCCCCACCCCCCCACGCACCCCGCCCCCCACTGAACCCACGGCTCCTGGCCCCATTGGCTCATGGTCCACGCATGGATGTGGCTTCTCAGCTGACTTTAAAGGGCCCCAATGCATGCCCGGGCCCTCCGCCCGCTTAGGTGGAACGGTCTGAGCTCCGGACTCCTTCATCTGGGTGGAACATCCTCCTGGGCAGGTCTGAGCTCTGGAACCCCTTCATATAGGTGGACGGACCCCCTTCATTTAGGTGGAACATGCTCCTGGGCAGGCTCTGGAACCACCCCCCCGCTCCGCCCTCCGCCCTTCCAGCTCCGCCTACTCCCCCCTTGGCCCATCCCACTCTCCATCCCCTCAACCTCCTCCCCCGCTTGGCCCGCTTGCCCTACCCCCACCACACACACGCACCCCCGCCCATCCGCCCTTCCCGCTCCGCATACTCCCCCCCCTTGCCCAAGTTCCCCACGCACCACGCCATGCTGTCCTGGTCCCATTCTTCATCCCTCGACCTGCATGGCTGCCAACGCTCCCCCCCTTGCCCAAGCCCCCCACGCACCGCCATGCTTCTCATGGACCCATGGCTCCTGGTCCCATTCTTCATCCCTCGACCTGTATGGCTGCCAAGGCTGGTCCTTTCTCTGCCACCCCCACCCCGCATGCACCCTGCCACCCCCAACCCCCAACCCACCCCCTCGCACCCACACTTCCAACCCCCACCCCCACCCCCCACGCACCCCGCCCCCCACTGGACCCATGGCTCCTGGCCCCATTGGCTCATGGTCCACGGCCCATGGATGTGGCTTCTCAGCTGTTAGCGGGCTCTAGTGCATGCCGCGCTCCCCGCTCCGCCCCCCTTCCGGCTCCGCCTACTCCCCTCTGGCCCATGCTCCCACTCTCCATCCCCTTGACCTCCCTCATGGAACCAGCCGCCCATGCCCCTTATGACCTATGGCTCCTGGCCTCATTGGCTCCCTCCACGGCCCAAGCAGGTGGCTTCTCCGCCCCTACCCCCACCCACGCACCGCCCCCCGCCCATCCGCCCTTCCCGCTCCGCATACTCCCCCCCTTGCCCAAGCCCCCCACGCACCCCGCCATGCTTCTCATGGACCCTTATCCCTGCTGCATAGCTGCCAATGCTGGTCGTATATATGGCCCCTGCTCCACCCCCACCCCCAACCCCCGCCCCCACCACACCCTACCCCGCCGCCCATGCTTGTCATGGGCCCCTTGCTCCTGGCCCCATTGCTCCACCCCCACCCCCCCCACCCCCACACACCCCACCCTTTCCACGCTTCCAACCCCCACCCAAACCCCCCACGCACCCCGCCCCCCCACTGGACCTTGGCTCCTGGCCCCATGCCCGCCCCCTCCCGAATGTCCACGAGCTTGGATTGCTTGCCAGAACCCTAAACCCTAAACCCTGAACTCTAGGCCTTGCAAGGTCTCGACTGCCTCAACCCTCCATTATCCCCGAAAATCTGCAAACCCTCCTCCTCGGCATCCCAAACCCTGACTGGGCGGCCCGGCGCTTCCGCCATGGTCTCCGCCGCCACGGCGGTTTAGGGGTTCGGGTTTGTGGTTTCGAGTTTGGGGTGTACGTCGAGGCCTCAGGTTCAAGTCTCCTGGTTACGGGGGTTTAGGGTTTGGGGGTTTGGGGTTTCAGGGTTGCGGGTTTCGGGTTTGCGGTTTGCGGTTTTAGATTTGGGGTTTAGCCCCAACTCCTTGCGCATCAGGGCTCCATGTTTCGCCCCCCTGAACTCTACAACCTGACCAAGCCCTGCGCATATATCTATATATATATATATACATAATCCGCGGCCGGAGCCCACAGTGCCTTGGCCCCCCTTGGAGGGGGTCGGCGGCACTGGCGGTAGCCATTAAATCGGGCAGCGCGAGGTTCCCAAAGGACCGAGCAAATGCGGACCTTTTAGCCCGGGTCGTCCCGGGAATAGCCTTGCTGGCCTCTGGCCTTCTGCGAAGCAGAATTAGGCCGGACGCCAGTGCCGCCGACCCCCGCGTGCCGCCGGTGAACGGTTCTTTTTTCGTGGTGTTTTGCGTCGCCACGGAGGCCCCCAAAGGGCGCGCATCATGAGCATCAGCGGGTCCAGCCCGGGACCCCCAGGCGCGCATCAGGAGCATCAGCGGCTCCCGGGGCGGGACCCCGGGGGCGCATCAGGAGCATGATGCCCCCCAAAGGGCGGGCATAAGCGACGTGTCTAAGCCCAGCCCTAGGAAAAAGGGAGTTTAGGGGCCTTATAAAGTGCTTAGAAACGTTAAGGGAGTCTAGGAGCCTCAAACGCTTAGAGATTTGAAGGGAGTTTAGGGGCCTGAAAATGCTTAGAAACTTAACGCTTAGAGATTTTAAGGGAGTTTAGGGGCCTCAACATGCTTAGAAACTGCTCGCCCCGGGCTTCTGCGTGCGCTGCCCGCCCATGGGCGCAGCCCCTTAAAATAGGGTAGGGTTTAGGGTTTAGGGTTTAGGGTTTAGGGTCTAGGGTTTAGGGTGTAGGGTTTCGGGTCTAGGGTTTAGGGTTTCTGCTTTAGGGTTTCGGGTTTAGGGTTCGGGTTTAGGGTTTAGGGTTTCGGGTTTAGGGTGTGTGCTCGGCGAGGTCGCACGCTGGCCAGCGCGCAATAGCCTTGCAGACGTGCCCGCCGCAAGACCACCCGGATGCTACTCCAAACGGACCAAGCCGTAGTGTGCGGAGGCCAGAGAGCCCAAACCAGCAAAGCCGAAGACACGATGCTTCAGGCTTGCAAACTGCACCGTTGGAGCTTGACTATGCAAAGATGCAGACTTTGTAAGGACAGCAGCGAATGCCTAGGTTCTTTGCGGCAGGCGACATCTTCGGCCGGAGAACCTGCTCATTACTTTTCTCACCGAGTCCGGAATGCGGAGGTGCATGGTGAAGACCTATTGCCATAAAGATGCCTTGTCCTCTGAAGGACGCTAGAAGCGTCCGAGTGAAAATTCAGGTTTTACGCTTGGGGACATCTTCGGCCGGAGGGCCTTCTCATGGCTTTTCTCACCGAGTCCGGAAAGCCGAGGTGCAGGGTGAAAATGTGTTGCCATACAGATAGAAGCGCCCCACGTTTAGGCTCCACTGCTGGGGACGTCTGCGGCCGGAGAGCCTTCTCATTGTTTTTTCTTTCATCGGCCCCGGATTACTAAGGTGCATCGCGAAAGCCTGTTGCCAGACCGATGCCTTGTCCTGTGAAGGACATTGGAGGCATCCCAGCGAAAATTCAGTGGGGGATGTCTTCGGCGGCACCTCTCTCATCCACCCGAGATTGCCCAGTGACATGGCGAAGCCACATGTTGCCACAAAGACGTGTTGTCCTGTGAAGGACATACCCTAAACCCTAAGCCCTAAGCCCTAAACCCAAAACCCCAAACCCTAAACCCTAAACTGCCACAAAGATGAGTTGTCCGAGCGAAATTTCAGGTTTTTCAGGCCTCCAGAGCCTGGCACTGCAGCCCAGCCAGAGCCTGCCCTGGTCTCGCTGAGCGCTCGACTGCGCCCGTCTACCCCCAACAAAGGTGAGGAGCGCCGGGCTTAGGGTTCAGGGTTTCGGCTTAAGGTTTAGGGGCTATGAAGTCGATGAATAGGCCTTGTATGGAGTGTTAAATGGAAGCCAGATGTGTAAGGGGGGACTTATGTGCTTCAACACAAAAGCCAAGGCCTGCTAAAGACCCAAAACATTGCAAAAGGTACTGCTGGGAATCCTGGGAACTGCAACGGCGCAGCCGGTCAGCACCTCAGGGACGCGTGTTGGGGTTGAGGGTTTAGGATTTAGGGTTTAGGGTTTAGGGTTTCGGGTTTAGGGGTTACTCCGATGGGTGCTTGCTATCGGTTTCGCTTCACTTTTCCTCGTCTCTCATGAGCCGAACGGCGAAGTAAGTTCATGAACTAGGTTGTGGATCTTCGGATATATGGGGGTTTAAGGAACCTCTAGTATCGACCCCAAATTCTCTTATAATAGAGACCCCAAGAAGGTGCAACACCCGTATGGAATCCGGCCGTTCGGGCCATAGAAGATGGGGGCTCCTTGCCGGAGGGGCCACTACATGGGCTTCCGGCTGCCCGTACTCCACTTGGGCCCTAAAGCTACCATACACTTAGTTGTCCAGTACCTAGGGGTTTTAAAGGTTAACCTTTGGGATTATAAGGGGAATATATTAACCCAAAAAGGTTAAAGGTTACCTACTCTGCTACTAAGTACATGGGAACCCCTTGAAGCCAAGTATACGACTGGGTTGGCCCTTAAAACCCTCTGCAAAGCATTCCTAAACAGGATCCTCGTGAACCCAAGGGCGATATCAAATAACACGAGGGCCTCCTAGATGTTAAGTTTAGGGGCTTTCAGGATTGACGGTTTTTCAAAGGCTGTTTCTTGCAGGGATTCTTGAAAAAGGTTGGAAGTTCAGGGTTTGGGGCACATACCCTAAACCCTAAACCCTAACACGCAAACCCTAAACCCTAAACCCTAACACGTAAACCCTAAACCCTAAACCCTAAACCCTAACACGTAAACCCTAAACCCTAAACCCTAAACCCTAACACGTAAACCCTAAACCCTAAACCCTAAACCCTAAACCCTAAACCCTAAACCCTAAACCCTAAACCCTAAACCCTAAACCCTAAACCCTAAACCCTAAACCCTAAACCCTAAACCCTACCTGGACCCAGAAACCCAGGGATGTTTTGCCCAAGCCGCGTAGCACTCCAGGGGCTTCACGATGCTCACTGCAGGGGTGCATCCATCGCTGCGGGTGAGCTTGGTCGCCTGGGCTAGGGTTTAGGGTTTAGGGTTTAGGGTTTAGGGTTTAGGGTTTAGGGTTTAGGGTTTAGGGTTTAGGGTTTAGGGTTTAGGGTTTAGGGGTTTAGGGGTTTAGGGGTTTAGGGCTTTCGGGTTTTAGGGTTTTAGGGATTTTAGGGTTTTAGGGTTTTAGGGTTTTAGGGTTTTAGGGTTTTAGGGTTTTAGGGTTTTAGGGTTTTAGGGTTTCAGGGTTTTCGGGTTTCAGGGTTGTGGGGTTGTAGGGTTGTAGGGTTTTAGGGTTTTAGGGTTTTAGGGTTGTAGGGCTTTAGGGCTTTAGGGTTTGCAGGGTTTTAGGGTTTAGGGTTTCTGGGTTTAGGGTGAAGATCGACCTTTATCCTTACAGCCTCTTTGACGGCTGCCTGCTTGTAGCTCCTTTCCGGGCGCAAGTTAGATGTCCAAATAAAGGCCCTACAATTGAGGGTCCAAGCGGTTCTTACCCTGCCCTCCCAGATCTCTAAAAAAAAACCGACAAGGTAGCATATTGCCCCACCCTCCCAGATCTCTCACTTAGTTGCTGAGTTCATAAGCCTCAAAAAAAGTGTGCACTTTCAGTTCTAGAGGGGATTAGAGTATCCCAAAGAAATGTAAAGTGTGCTCACTCAGCTACTAAGCTCAACAAAAAGCCGACAAAAAGTAGCGGCCCGGTGGCATTGCAGATGCCGCTCGACAATGTGCTGGGATCCAGATCGCCCACCAGGCACAAGCCATCAGCACTATATCCTCGGCTTGCTATTGAAACCGTCAGAACCATCTAAAGTCAGGGTTTAGAGTTTGGGGTTTAGGGTTTAGGGTTAGGGATTAGGGTTAGGGATTAGGGTCAAGGATTAGGGTTAGGGATTAGGGTTGGGACGTTCCCCCTGATACTAACAGTCCTCAATAGGGATTATCATAGAGGGTACTATAGCCCCTACTCAGGACTGCTAGTATAAACCCTAAGCCCTATAGACCCGAAGCCCAAACCCTGCTTAAACCAAAATAGGGCATCTTCAGCAGTTGGATAACCGAGACCCAGGAGTACCCAGGGCCTAGGGAACAAACAGGGTACCCTCTCTGGTTTAAAGCGGCTCAAGAAGGGGAGCCCAAACCCCCCAAAATGTTACAAGGCAGTAGACGGGCAAAACTGCCCTGCTTTAGGGTTTAGGGGTTAGGGTTTAGGGTTTAGGTTTAGTCCGAGCTTCCGAGGAGAGTCAGGTGAGAGGCACCCGACGGCAGAGGGCCGCAAGGGCCCTTGGCTGTAACGCAGACGTCCGGCTCAAACCCTTCGCCACAGAGCTCTGCAAGCGCAAAGGACCTGCTGGCTGCCCTTAACACTGGGGGTTTAGGGTTTAAGGTGTAGGGTTTAGGGTTTAGGGAAAAGGTTTAGGGTTTAGGGTTTAGGGCCTCACCTACATTCTGGGCCCTAGCCAGGTCTCCCAAAAGATTCCGACATAAGGGATCATTCCCCCCCCCCCCCCTCCCCACACATCCAACTTCCGCAGGTGAATAGCGCTAAGCACAAGCTCGGGGGGGTGGCGGGAACTTCGTCAACCCTCCCGCCAGTGAAAACCAATCACAGCTGCCGCCACAGGATGATACCGCAGCATTGCCAAGCTTCCGCAATCGGAGGCGGCAAGATGTCAAAGGAAGTGAAGGACCCGATGACTAACTTTGAGCTTGGAGATTGCGGACCGCCAGTGTTGTTCTTTTTGTCGGGCTCCGTTGAGGGTTTATAGGATTTAGGATTTTGGGTGAGGATTTATAAGGGTTCTGCGAGCACGTTTAGGCTTTCATGGTTTGGGAGTTTAGGATTCCAGCAATTGGCTATCTGGTATGACGGATTGCAAGGAGAAGCAGCGGCGTTTCCCGACTTGGGGGGTGCCCCTGATGAACCACGAAATACGATAAGCGTAGTCTCCAAAGCCCAGAAACAAAAAAAGGACCTGTGTTGATTTGGCTGAGCAGGGTCACACGTGTACGTATATATATATATATATATATATGATAAAGGATCCCAAAGTAACCGAATTCTAGGGAATGAGGAACTACTGTTGCTGGGAGTCCTGGTGCGGACTGGTGTAGCACGTTTCGTACCGAGGGGTTTCCTGGTAAATGCACCGATCGGTCAAAAAACGTGTCGTCTAGGGTTTAGGGTTTAGGGTTTAGGGTTTAGGGTTTAGGGTTTAGGGTTTAGGGTTTAGGGTTTAGGGTTTAAGGTTTAGGGTTTAGGGTTTATAGGGTTGAGGGTACTTCCGCCCAGCTCCGTCTCTACGAGCTTCCCGGTCTTCCGAAAGACGGTAATGGTGAAGGTCTTCGTCGTTTGTTTGGGGCTTGGAGGTTTATGGGTAGAAATAAGCATGGCTAGACAACACAGAGGAACCGTGGTAACTACAAAGAATTCTGGCGCACTTAGCCCTACACATATGGTATCCATGAACTGGATGACGTGGAGATCTTGACCAGGGCTTAGCCAGCAGCTGACTCGGTCTCATGGGGTTTCGCATGTAGGGTTGATACCTCCCTAAACCCTAAACCCTAAACCCTAAACCCTACCTCTTCAGGTGCACCACGCACTTCTGTCACATTACCTACAACCTGCTTCGAACATCATCGAAGTCGCCGGGCTTTCCGAAGCCGCATGGAGACCCGGGTTTAGGGTTTAGGGTTTAGGGTTTAGGGTTTAGGGTTTAGGGTTTCCTCACTACAAACCGAAAACCCCCAAAAAATGCACCTTTTCGTTGTGGAGCACACACCTGAGGCCGCAGGCACTGGGATCTCGGGAGCGCCAGCAACTTTTCGCCGGAGCTGCGCTACCTCCAAAGGAAGGAAGGGGCCGAGGCGCCAGAGGGGCTCTAGGGTTGGGGGAAGTTGAGAGCTTTGGACTTATAGGATTTAGGGTCTGAGGGTTTAGGGTTTCGGGTTTCGGGTTTAGGGTTCAGTGCTTAGGTGGGTAAGGGTTCAGGGCTTAGGTTGGGACACGTTTAACATTTTGGCCCTACAGGGCTTCGAGCTTCTTGCCGCTCAATCCCTCTTAACATATATGGCAGATGCAGGAACGGAGCCCTTTGTTGTGGTTGCATGTTTTGCCCCACCCGACTTGCTAAAAAATCTAAGGACAACGCGGCACGCATCCTGCCACTCGACAGTGTAAGGCTGCACAACTGCAGCACAGCATGGTTTTTTCTCTGAACAGGTGTCCCTTTTGGGGCTCCTTCCTTTAAAGGGTGCCGCACTATATAGGGGACCCCCAAAAAAGGGGCCCTGTTTTGAGAAGTATCCACATTCAGGACCGTAGGCAGGAAACTCTGGCAGAATGTCAAAGGCCAGGGAGGCTCAGGCGGGCAACTGTGCCGGAATGCTCCCTGAGGAAGCAAGCCAGGCAGGCCCTGTGCCGAAATGTTACGTTAGTCAAAGAAAAAATCAAGCCCCCCAAACCCTTCCCCCGGAACCTATAAAAGAACCCCGGCTCTAATTATCCTTACACCATGTTCCAGCTTTCTGGAGTTTACTGTAAACCTCCTTTTGGATCATGTCCTTCTTCTTCGGAAGAGAAATTGGAATGGGACCAAGCCCAGTCCCGAACTCTCCATTCAGGCCTGACCAAAGCTCAAGAATGACAAACTCCTCCATCACCAGTGACGACTGCTTGCTTAAGAACGTCTCTAACTCTAGAGAGGGTGGGTTTAGGGTTTAGGGCTTAGGGTTTAGGGTTTAGGGTTTAGGGCCCTTTAGGTACCAAGATGGCGTGGGCCTCCGCCTCCTTCCTCCGCAGGGCAGCGCACGCCGCGTCCGCCTCCTGGAGCTCAGCGAAACACATGCGGTACCCCTTATGTAGGGAATAGGGTTTAGGGTTTAGGGTTTAGGGTTTCGGGTTTAGGGTAGTACCCCTTATGTCTTCGTTGTCCAGTAACCTCGGGGAATGAAAGGTTAAGCTGTGGGAGTTTATAGGGATTCGAATGACCCAGAAATGTTAAAGGTTGCCTACTCTTAGATATAGTACCCCTGATGTAGGGATTAGGGTTAGGGTTTAGGTAAAGCCTTGAGAACCCATTCTTAACCTATTTTTGTAGGTACTGTAAAGCCTTCTAGTATAGAGTTAAGGTATACTTTATACGACGTGATCAAGGTAGCTTGCTTGATCGGGGAGGGGGTGTATAGGGCCGACTGGGGGCTCTAGGTTGTGCCACCGCCTATACTCCCCTTAGAACCTTAATACAAAACACTATTTTTAATATCCTCTTGGGTGGTTATATAAAGAAATAAATAAATCCCAAGAAGGATATAGGCACAAGGTTTAGGACTCAGAGGGTCAGGCGCTGCGGCTTCGTGGGGTTTACACAACTTCACCAAGTCTCCCCAACCCCTAAACCCTAAACCCGAAACCCTAAACCCTAAACCCTATTGGGGCTCTTAGCTGCACCGAATAGAGAGGCCGCAATTCTCACGGGCTTCTTTTGGTGTCTAAAGGGCTCGTGAGGGTAGAGGCTGAAAATGGGTGTCTAAGATGCAGAATCTTGCATTGGTAGCCCAGAAACTATATTCCAATAATTAAAGGTGCCATTCGTGGTTGGTTACTTGATAAGGGAACCCAGAACGCCCCCCAAAAAAGGGAAAAGGGCACCACGGTGCCACCAAAAAAAAAACAAAACCCCCAAAACCCGCAAAACCCCCCTAAACGCCACTTAAACCCCCCAATAAGAACCCTTAAACCCTTACCCCCCCCCCCCCCCCCCCCCCCCCAAAAAAAGGGTTTAGGGTTTAGAGTTTAGGGTTTAGGGTTTAGGGCTTAGGGTAGCCCAGAGCCCCGGCCATGTCTCCTTGACCGCCAACGCCAGCTCCTCGAGTCGGCGACAAAAGCCATCGTTTCGCGTAAAAAAAAACCGAAGCCCTAAACCCTAAACCCCCTTTTGGGCAACGGACTCTGAGGCGAAATCCTAAACCCTAAACCCTAAACCCTAAATCCTAAACCCTAAACCCCACTCCCTAAACCCCTTTGCAACGGGCTTTGGTTCTAAACACTAAACCCAAGCGCTGAACCCTAAACAATCCAAATCGCCCTAAACCCTACACAGTCCTCATCGTCCTAAACACGAAACCATCCTCATAGCCCTAAACCCTACTCAATCCTAATAGCCCTTAACCCTTAAAACCCTAAACCCTAAACCCTAAACCCTCAACCATCCTCATAGTCCCAACCCTGAACCATCCTTCGGCCTAATAATTACTGACCCCAGCATGAAAGAGTCAGCAAATTGAAGGCGTCAGGCTCTTAATCTACAAAGGGATGGAAGCGTCCCATAAACCCTATAAACCCTAAACCCACCATGGTTCTAAAGATTCGGAGATTCGGGTTTACGGCTTTTAGGGCTTACCGGTACCTGAGCCCCTCAAGCCCTGACATCATTCTCCGTGTCCCTTCAGTGGCCCGAAGTAAGCCCAGCAAGACCCTGCATTAAGAACCCTAAAGCCTACATTGCGCTAGTGAATTCTCTAGGTAGATTCTTCAGGCAACCTACGTTTCAAGGGCCCGGGTCCTCAAAACTAAACCCTCAACCCTAAACCCCAAACCCTAGACCCTGCTCCTTTTAACCCTACTTCTGCTTGATTCGTTGCCCCCCAGCTCGCCGCTCCTGTCTCAGGGCCTCGAGTTCGCCACCCGAGTCCCTCTCAGCGCCGGCACCTCTGCAGCTTACCGTGGTTGGGTCCCTACAGAATGGCCTCAGGGTTTAGCGTTTAGGGTTTCGGTTTAGGGTTTAGGGTTTGGGGTTTGGGGTTTAAATGTTAGGGTTTGGGGTGACAAAAGACTCTTTAACATGATCCTCTTAAACTCGATATGGGATAATGGAGTCCTCTTAAGGCCAGTACGGGTGACAGAGAATTTTCCCAAGGTCCGGCCTATTTGTGGTTGCGGTAAAAAGGGGCCAACCCTAAACCCTAAACCCTGAACCCTGAACCCTCAACCATCCTAAACCCTACGCAGAAGGGGTTTCGAAACGAAGGATTCGGCTCTCATGCTCCCGCAAAGCAGGCAATGCTTTCCCTTCAGAATCTTCACTCTGTGCCGGAAAAGGTTTTGCTGCTATGACAAATACTTCCCAGAGTAGGGGACGACGGGTGACCCTAAACCCTAAACCCTGTTTGTACCCTAAACCCGAAACCCTGAACCCTGATCAGCTTTAAACAATTTCAGGTTCATTTCAGGCTTTTTGAGGCTTCTTGGTCCTTCTATGCTTCAGCTTCCTTGCAGGGGGGATCACCCTTGAAATCCTATGGACTGAGGTTCAAGGATGGCCCTTGAACTTGAAGTAGTAGGGTTTAGGGTTTAGGGTTTCGGGTGTAGGGTGTAGGGTTTAGAGTTTAGGGCATGTGATTGCTGCACCGGAACTAGGGGCCTGGAACTACCCAGCTCAATTTCCATACATGAATCTTGGTATGACAGAGAAACTTTCGCACCGGGAGTGAGCTCAATCACATGCCCAAACCCTAAACCCTAAACCCTAAACCCTAAACCCTAAACCCTAAACCCTAAACCCTAAACCCTAAACCCTAAACCCTAACTACTTCAAGTTCAACCACGGGTCCAACCCTGGCGAAACGCCGGAAACTG